AGTTGTATGAGCCCCTAATAAAATGATATTTTTAAAATGATTAAAAAAAGAATATTTTTGTTTTGTCCACTTATAGAATATTATGTTTAAATGAGGGTGGCACATTTTGAACTGTGTGCATTTTAGTTTTATTCTGTTTAGGCACACATATGGTTTTACTATTGTCTTTGTTTTAGAAATTACACATGGCTAAGAAGTCGTGTAAACGTGTCAAATTGACAAGGAGTGGGCTGTGGTAGTTACATAATTTCATGTCAACTTGATAAATAAGTGTAGAAGTGGGGTCTGGCCTGTCAATTAGGTCACTGTCTGACTGACACCTCCTTGTGGGCATGGCCTTCTGATGAGGATTCTGGGAACTCCCTCTCTTTCTCCCCAGAGGTGGCCCACACTCTCTCTGCTATACATTCCTGTTGACAAGCCACATGGAGTCACACTGCTGACAGCCAGAGCCCTGGAGATGCATCCCTTCCATTGAATCTACAGGACTTACCACCCAGCAGCCTGTGATCTTCCTGTATTCAGCATCATTGCATGTGCTGCGTGAGACTGAAGAGGAATTCATGGGCTAATATTGGACTTATGGGCTAATATTGAAAGTATAGATTTGATCTGGACTGGGCTGGGATGTTCTATTGATACATAATTACTTCTTGATATAAAGTTCTCTCTTAGACATATGAGGTCCATGAATTTGTTTCTCTAGTCAACCCGGTCTAACACAGGTCTTAACAACTCAGAAACCAGAAGAGCTAGAGGTGCCTGGGATCACTATCAACTGCTCTGGAAGAGTTCAAATTACAAGGTCCTGGATAGAGTGGAAGAAAGATGTGGAACACAATTCAAAATCAGGAAGGTGACCAGACTTGCTGGTTGGATAGGGACTAGACCCAAGAGACCCCAGAGACTCTGGTCTTTGGTCACACCTCAGTCTACAATTAAAAACAGGGGAGGAAAGACAGCAGTTGGAAAGGATATTCCAAAGTAGACTATTGCTATGAAGGGAATGATAGTGTAAAATTAGATATAGACATGAAATGAAAGAAAGAAGTATACTGTAAATAGGAGCAATAAATCACTGTTGGGAAAGCACTGTATGGCAAACAACAAGGTCAGTAGTTCAAACCCACCAGCCACTCTGAGGGAAAAAGATGAGCTGTTTGCTCTCTTAAATATTTATAACCTTGGAAACCCTATATAGGGCTGCATAAAATGGCATAAAGTATTCAGTTTTAAGGAACATAATTCAATTACAATCTAATTCTAAAAACTATAGAGAAAGCACGTTTGAAATAATCTACAAAGTGCAAAATGCAAATTTAGTGATTTTAATATTCTAGCAAACTCAATTCCTTTGAAGATTCAGTGTTAAGCATGAAAAGAAGCAATGATGGAAATATAAGTTGTGCAATTCTTCCCATAAAATCCAGTGGATGTGCTTTTAAATCAAGATCTTAAAATATGCCCTTTATTCTACAATATTACTTAAAAGCTTCCAAGATAAATAACAAGATTATACAGTGCTTGTGATGAAAGCTGGTAGGATTACAGCAAATATCCATTGCATATGATAATGCTTTTTTCACTGTTTAACTTACCACTCGAACACTTCTGAAGAGTAACACGATTCCAGCTATGGCCATTCCAGTGCTGATGTTCTACAGAAAGAGATGTAGTAAGGCTTCATTCTCACTAATTATTATTCACACTATTGAAATACTAATTAAAAGAGTTATACAGAATGAAACAAAAGATTGCCTTCCCCTTCTCTCTCTCTCTCTGTCCACATACCTCATATCCTTCAACTGAAGGCCTACATTTTCAAAGAAACTTTGATTGCCCACTTACTCCATTAATCTTGATTTAAAAAATTTTATAAGCCCGGTCTGTCCCAAGCAATCTGGCATGCACAGTAACTATATACATAACAACAATGTATGGTTCTCTGTGGATTGCAATGCTTTAACCTTAGTTCCCTGCAGGCATAAACCAGCCTGAGACTTCTTGGGCAATGCCCATAGTGCCTCTGATCATAGCCTTAGTCAGTGGTGGAAAATTAAGTATTTGGTAGAAAACCTTATCACTAAAGCCTTAAAGTACAGCATTTTAGAAAACATATATAGGTAAATAGTTGGGGGAAGTAATATTTTTTTTACAAGAAAAGGTGTTAGTGAAGATGTGGACCACTGGAATGCTCATAGTTGATGGGAATAAAAAAATTGTGCAGCAACTATGGAAATTTATTTCAAGGAATTACAACATGATCCAGTAAATATACTCCTATACATACCCCAGAGAACTAAAAACAGACCCAGAGACATGTACATCAGTGTTTATTATTGCACTCTGCCATACAGTAAATGTAGCATATACATATAACGTCTACCAATGTAGCATATTACTCAGCCACAATGACAAGTTCTGAGACATCCTACTACATGGATAAACCTTGAGAACATCATGCTGAATGAAATAAATTAGGCACAAAAGGATGATTATATGATCCCACTTACATGAATTATCAAGAATAGGTAAGTAAATACAGACCAAAGTTTATTAATGATTGCCAGAGATGCAGAGGGGTGTGTGGGGGGGGGGAGTAACAAAAACTCAATGCTTAAGAGACTTTGTGCTTCTGATAAGGATGATATCATTTAGGAATAGATCAGGATGATTATTGAACAATGTGATGAACATGTTACTGAGCTGTACATGTGAAGACTGTGGAAATGTCCAATGTTTGTTACATATGTTTACCATGATTTAAAAAAGCAAAAAAAAGTGATGTTCTTAAAGTGTTTGACTTAAAATGAATTAGAGCAAATAAGAGTTTAATTAAAAAAGAAGAACCCTGCAACTCCTTAAGAGTAACAAGCTAGCAGCAGAGGGTGGGTGAAGGGAGACGCCGGACAGTGTAATATAAGATACAAT